TTATTTACATTTATTTTTATTAAAAATATTTGTTTTTATCTAAAAATTACCTGATGGTCCAGGTTCGCCAATAATTATGCACATGTTCCAAATGGAACATCTGATCCACCGATATTTTATGCTTTCGTTGAAGCAAAATTTCTTCACCATGAGATGTGTAATATGGTTTGATGGTACCTTTTTCCAACAAGCCAATTACCGAGTAAACATTACTGTTTTTTCCTGCATAAGAAAATTGTATTCTGATATCTCCCACCTATAAACAAAGTAAGCCATATTAGAAATAGCTCTATTAGAGATAAATAAGAAAGAAATAAAAATAAAAGTTTTTAAGTACAATACAAATTGAATGATGAATGTCTGATCACAGAAAAATTCCAACAGTTTTCTATGAATTTGACAGAATGGAACAATCTCTTTTCTGAAAAAAATTTTTGGAAATTTCATCTTGAACTTTGTAATTATATTAATTTTAATTCTTAATTCCAAATGGAGTTTTCTAAATTCAAAATATTCTTAAATATTCCCTCTTTAAGAAAAAAAAAACTTCTTGCAGCGACATACTTGAGGATTCCACAAATCTGCACTGTGGTAATACAGTCCAGAGTGCATTTTAATGTTCTTTCGCTCTGGTCTCTCATCACTGGTGATCTCTACAAAATCATTGAATTTTTTTTTCAATTCCATGCCAAGCGTATAAGCGCCAATCTTCACTTCGTCTGCAATCTGCACCTGACTCTTGATTGGTATTTCCTTGGGATTGTGATGGCCTGTACGAATGTAAAAGTGATCCGAATCCACGAGTTTGTCCTTCCATTCTGTCGTGTAATAATAGTGTTTCTCGCCCTCTGTTATTTCACCAAAACTAAAAACAAAGATTTTAACAAAGAATTTAATATGTTTGATATATGTATATCGCAGTGCAATAGAGTTTTTAAGCTATTTAGCATAGATTGAATAGCAATTTTCAATTAAAGAAAGTTTTCGTTTTCGACAATCAAAAGGATAAGGATCAAGGATAAATTCTTTTATCACTACCTTGGTTCTTCCTCGATTTCAACCCACTGGTACATCTGAACTCTCCTCTTTAGCTTCACGCTTGATATGATAATTCCATAATCTGGTTCTGTTAACGGTTCAGAGACTAGTATGGGACCCGATAGATGTATCAAGCGGCCCTCATATTCAGACGATAGCATCATTGAATTAGGAAGCACGATAACATTGTGTAAAGCCTCATCCAAGGAATGCGCTACTTTTACGGCTCTTCCCTGAAAAGACGCGAAATGTTATGAAAAAATAATAAGATTGGAAATAAGACCATTTATGTTAGCTGCATTACTTTAAATGCAAAGCATCACTATGATCTGAATATTAAGATGTTGAACTATTATATATATTCATTTAAATGAATTAATTTCAGAAATTATAATTGCGTGCTGATATGGTTGTCAGACTTTCAACGCAATCAATCTGAAATATTATAATAATCCCCCCTAAATTTCCCAAATTTAATCTTAAAAAATTGTAATAAACTTATTGCGAAAAATATTGTTTCGGTTGGGAGTTGAACCCGGATCTCTTGCTATAAAAAATTATCTATTACAATTTAATCATGACAATATTGAATTTTTTAAATATCTTTCCCTTCTTAAACGAGTTGGTCATATGACAGAAAGTGCCATTCGCAAACCTCATTCCAAAATAGTAGACACATTCCAGTGGCAAACATGATGGACCCAATTATTGCTGTCAACCACGACTGCCTGAATTGTTCCGAGATCGTCATTGGTATTTGATTCACAGAGCCGGCTTGTCTTCCATTCTGACAATTCTGATGAAGTCCATTTACGTTTCCCCTTTGCTGACTATTCTGCTACAAAGCGTACGCTCCGAGAGTTTATCTTGTTCTGTTCATCTCAATAATTGACATAAAATAAGAATAATGCTTATATACAAGGCAAAGGGAATAATACTTACATTCATACGATACATCCTGACGTCCACCGACGTCGTATTCTTGGAGCTACCGACGAGATACTATTAACACACTGCTATTAGACGGCGATTATGGAAGTTCGCGTGTCTGTTAAAATTTAAGTGATTAAGAGTAAGAAACTAATAATACGGTATTAATGTCATGATTTATTAGATATGTATATATGTTTAAAAACGTATAATAATACGATTTTTATTAAAAATTGATTTTAATGTTATCATCCGAGTTTGATTATCAATAGAAACGATAACTGCAGAGAAAAAAATTGTAATTTTTCGACGATATACAAGATATTACAGCATTAAAAATGCGTACTTATTTATACAGCATTTATATAAAAAAATCACGAATTTAATAATGTATTATCAAAATATTTATATTAATAATCGTAAATTTTTATCAATTGTTGGTAATGTCATCGTTCTTTAGTTATTCCCAGGCCCTCCATTACGTCACGAAAATTTATCCAGGGCCGACGGTCTTTAATAATATCAAGGTTGTGCATCTACGCGTAAATTATAATATTTTATGTCTACGTGTAGATGTAGACAACGTAAACTAGTGTAATAAAATCGGTTTTACATTAGTTGTAAGCCGATCGCAAGTTTGTTGCGACAGCTAATCTGAAGCTTGCATTTTGAAATCAACGCTTCATATGGCTGTTGCAACAAATTTGCGATCGGCTTGCAACTAATATAGAACCAGCTTAATGTAGAATTGGCTTAAGGTGTCATATATATATATATATATACACATATAGATAGTGAGTGATATTATATAGACAAACTAATTGATTAGATTTTTTTCGATATTATATAATCAAACGAAAATTTTATACAATTATTAATTTTTTTCATAAGAATTATCTATATACAGTTTATACTTAATTAGAAATATGTGTGTGTTGTGCTCACACAGTTGAAATGTTTAAAATACTTCACAGAAATATTCTGAAAATGCGCGATATCTTTAACCACCGACGAGATACTATTAAAGACATCCTTACGGGAATTTCGTCCTTGAAAATATTGAAGTGATTAAGAGTTAAAAACTGATAATATTGCATTAATTTTATAACTTATTAGTTTAGTAGACGTATTTATGCATTTAGAACTCAATAATACTCGATTTTTCTTTAAAATTGTGATTTTAATATTATCGTCAAAGTTTGATTATCAATAGAAATGATAACTGCAGAAAAAAAATATAATTTTTCTGTAATATATAGGATATTATAGCTTTACAAGTATGCATATTTATTTATGAAACATTTATATAATAAAAAATCATGAATTTATAATGCATAAGCCAAATATTTATGTTAATAATAGCAAATTTATATCAATTGTCGATAATGTCGGCGTTTTTCAATTTCCTTTAGGCCCTAATGGCCCTTTTTATATCGCAAATTTTTAAATTTGCCCAGGATTGACGGTCTTTAATAGTATCTCGTCGGTGCTTTAGCCTATTCCTAAATGTATTTTGGACATTTCATGGAGACTATTTTATAATGTAATTCTTCTATATTGTTTTACGTTGGTGATACAATTTATAATTGCCTACATAGAATCCATTATTCACTGCGAGTACGGAAAATCTATAGTTTGTATAACGTACACTATAGATTTTCATTTAGTTTACAAAATGTAAACATTCATGTAAATAATCCGTGTAGACAAAGTAAGTAATTTTGAAATCTACAGCACAACTGTTTTATAGTTTAGTGGAGGTTTAAACCAGAGTTTAGCGAAGATTTAAACCCATTTAGCAAAGACTCGAATCCCATTTAATTCAATTTGAATCTGTCGGTAATAATAATCTCTGTAAATAGTACTATAAAGTTTGAGGTTATAACCATAATAACTAAGACGTTCGTTTTGTTCTAAAATATTTATTTAGATACGAAAAGAAGCTCTATTATTTCACAGCACAATGTCAACACGATTGTAAGTCGCAATATTTAATACGATAATTAGATAACATAATAATCTTGAAATTAAACTTTAGAAGCAATAGCTCTAACCTTATTTTAATATATTAAATATTAGAGTCCAATCGAAATTTTTATCGAAACTGAAAACGAAATATATTACGTGTCAGTTTCGATTGAAAGCATATTTTAATTAAATATTCTAGTTATCCTATGTATCAAAGAGGCAATCCACAATTAAGAGTTTTCCTACCAAATTTCTGGATGAAGCTAATTGCGCCTACAGATCAACAACCTCCAAATATTGTACAGTTTCATTGCTCTATGCAAATGACCAGATACGATATAAAAAATTATCTAGAGAAAATTTATAATGTCAATGTAATTGAAGTGAGAACAAGAATAGCGATGGGTAGGTTTAAGAGGGATCAACTGCAGCATTCAGTCATTAAGGAGGACGATAGAAAATTGGCTTACGTCGTACTGGTTAGATTGCAACTATTGTCTTGCTTCTTTTTACAGAAAGGGATTTAAAATTTTATAAAAAAAAATAACTTTGTTCACTTATAGCCGAAGGACCAGTCATTTGTGTTTCCTGATATGTTCAAAAATGTAAAAGATGATATTGATAAAGAAACTATGGACATAGCTAAAAAGGATATGCAGGATTTCTTAGGACCTAACAAAGCTCCTGGATTATCTGGTTGGTTTAGGATATAATATGTATGTATATTGCAATATTTAAGGATTTTAACCAATAAAACACTTGTTACTATTTTTAGTATTGTTTAATTTCCTGTACAATCATAATTTTTTAATTACTTATAATCTAACGAACTTTTTTAATTTCTTGTATATAGGATTTTGTTAATGCTAAGATACTGATTAGAAATTAAATTTTTAAATATATATTTTATATAAAATAATTTTTATTATAAAATTAAATTAACAAATTATTTATTATATATTATAAAAATTAAAACATTAAATTATTTATATTAACATTAAATTATAAATTTCCGTTAATTGCAGCTAATATTTTTTTGTTTCTCAAGATTGTCACGTGATTACCTTCAACGTAATATACTTTTACTACGTTTTGAGTTACCTTAAATAATTGCATACTTCATTAATCAAAAGTTTTGATAATTTGATTTATTCAATACAAATTAATATAATTTTTTTAAATACCTTGCACAAACCATAATCCTCTTCAATCGATAAGTTCATTGGGTGTGTAGGTTTTAGCAAAATTATAGAAGACTTAATAGGTGTCAAAGTAGAAGGATCATATTCTTGGAGAGCAGATAAATGTTTGTAAATTGTTGTACACAGCGTCTTTAAATTTGTAGATGAAAGTGGTGCATTTACAACTACGAACTGTTTGGCGAAAATATCATATCTTTCATTCCAAGTATCACAGTTCTTCAATTCCATTAGAATCTATCAAATTATCCATTTCGTTTTTATATACAAGACCAAAGGAAAGAACAAAAAATTGATAGCAATTCACATAAAAAGCAGAATCATATTAGAAATGTACCATAAATTAATTTAATATAAGTCTAAGATAAAAATGATACCTTTTCACTACTTCCTGGTAAATAAATTTCCATAATATAAGTTAGAACGTAAATCTGAAGGTCTAATTCAGAACTTGGCATATAATATTTGTATATCTTTTGTACTAATTCAGGAGAGCCATCGATGAGAATCAGTCGGCCTTTAAAATTCATAGCTTCCAATCTTCTTGTTAACTCAATTGCGATAATAGATCCGAAGGAGAATCCTACCATTACAAAGTCTTTCCCATTTCTCAGCTTTGGTATTATGTACTGTAAATACATGAAAGTTTTCAATGTGAACTTTATGTCCCTCAAATAAGAACAATATATTCGTCAATATAACACGAATTATTGATACAGTAATTCACTGATACCTTTATGAGATGATTAGTTTTCTCTGATATAATGTTTGTAGTAGAATCAATATTGCTTGTGTTATAATGGAAGGATGTTGTTGAAAATAAAATATTTGGTGCTAAATGATTAAATGTAGTTCCACATCCGTCAATACCTGGTATAAGAAATACTTCAGTTGTAGTTCCTTTAGTCGAGAGAGTGGAATAAATTTGTGAAATAAAGTCTTCATCCTTTATAGCAAGAACTAAATATGTTAAATATTGTGACTTCTTTGTGTCGAGTTTTTTTCTATTATGCATATTATTATCACTGATTTTTGTGGATGTTTCAATAAGCTTTGCAAAAGTAAGATTTCGTAATTCTTGTATCGAGAAAAAAATATTAAACTCTCGTTCCAGAGTTTGTTTGATTTCTACGACCATCATGGAGTCCATTCCAAGTTCGGCCAGAGATGAATTTGGACTTACAACTTTTATGTTACTTATATCTGTAGTATAAAATAGATTATTGTGATTTTTTTACTGTACTGTTCCATATCATTCATAAATTGGTTTTGTACAAAATATATGCATAGGAATATATGCACCTACCTAAAATATTAGCGACAGTTTCTACCAAATTGTTAAATCCGCAAGATTTTATTTTCTTCTCAGCTACAACTATGCTGCTTACAATTGGCCGGCTTTGAAGTAAAAACTTATCAAGTTCGTCGAGGCAGCAGGATATTTTCTGTTGTACAGTGCCGCAGATAATTAACTCTTTATTGTCCTTTCTTTGTTCTTTATTTTCCTGCATGTCAGCTAAGAAACCTACGTCACCTACAATTCCCCATTGAATCGCCAATCCAGGTAACTTTTCTCTCACTCTCTTTTCGCAAATTCTCTCCATGATGGAGTTGGCCATGCCATAATTAGTCTGTGCAGCGTTTCCTCTGCCGCAGACAACGGAAGAAAATACTACAAAATGCCTCAACTTATGGCAGATTTTTCTAGAAAGTTTGTCCAATGTTTGAGTTGTTCGAGCTTTTGCTAAAAAGGGTTCTGCGAAAGTTTCAGCGGTTTGATTCTTCAACAAGCTGTCTTTCAGTACCATATAGAGATTGAATATTGCATCCACCGGTGCTTCTTTTTCCACACTTCGTAAGAGACATTCGCAGTCTTTGGTGTCAGCAATGTTAATATTTTTGGGGAGCAGAACTTTTACACCATATGATTTCCACAGTCGAATTTTCATGCGCTGATAACCGTTTTTTATTCCAGTTCGCGAAATTAGAACAACGTTTCTGGCACCACGAAGTATAAGCCAGTCGGTTAACTCTAATCCAAATCCACCGAGACCTCCTAGTATAATGTAACTTCTATCTCTGAGACAATAATAGCGACCGTACGCGAGAATGTGCTTATCTAAAGGTTCATTCTTTTCATGGATATTTATAATTATCTATAAAAAAATTACACTAAGAATACATATTATGTGTGATAGAAGTTTAGACAAAACTATTATTTGTAAATAACTCTATCTGCTATTTTATTATTAATTAGTACAGGCATACCTTTCCTATATGTTTTCCGCTCGCCATATATTTAAAAGCTTCTCCAACATTTGTTTTTGGAAAAATTTTTACTTGCATTGGTTTGATTGTTCCATTTTCAAGACCGTCAGCTACCATTTTGCACAATAGCGACTTATACTTGCGATCATCAGTGAATATATTCTCCAATATAATTCCATGAAAACTGATACCTTTCTGGAACACAGACATATCTAGTGGATTGTTAGAAATAAAATCAAATTTGCCAATCTCTAAGAATTGACCGTTTTGAGCTAAACACCGAACAGAGGCGATTAATTTTTCTTCCGCCAATGAATTTAACACAATGTCGACTCCGCGACCTTTCGTCTGCTGCATTATCATTTGTTCAAAACTAGTATCTCGAGAATTTCCGATATGTTTGTCCAAAATAGCCGGAAACATTTTTCTAATAAAATCCCGTTTATCATTCGTGCCCACGGTAGTAAACACTTCACATCCCTTTTGAAGAGCGAGATGGATAGCTGCTTGTCCAACGCCTCCAGTACCAGAATGTATAAGTATTTTATCACCACTTTTTATTTTTCCATAAATGTGTAGGGCTAAGTAAGCCGTGCTATAAACTACCGGGACTGTCGCTGCTTCCTCGAATGTCCACGTGTCGGGTATTTTCCAACACAGATCTTTATCTTTCACAACAACGTTTGCTATACAACTAAAAAGAACAATTTTAATTCAATTTCAATTTTATGAAATTACATAACATACTAATTTTATGAAGTATTTACTCAGTCTCACGAATTCCCATTACGCGTTGCTTGTTAGCATCCCATCCCACATATTCCATTCCAATAGGAAAATATTGATTCAACCGTCCTTTCAAAAACGTGTCAGTAAATATTATTTTACTAGTCGTAAGCAATACATCTTTGAAATTCAGAGATGAGTAAACAACGTTTACTAAATCCTCATGACGAAACTCAACTGATCTATTATTCTCTACCCAATAAAGTGTACTTAGATCAGCAGAAACCTAGAAAATTTTTCATATCATAACGTGTCACATGTATAATAAAATAGAAACAGCGTGACAGTATTAAAAAGACGAGATACATAATATTATTGTACAATGATATCAAGTAATATGTTTTGAAAAGATTTAGACGTACTAATTGACGGACATTAGCGGTAGGTACAGGTCTGGCTTTGAATTGTGGTAATTTTAAATGTCTGTATGATCCCCAAGTTTTATTAGATCGCAATACATTAATGGTCATATCTTTCTGCAATTGCTGTAAATAGAAGGGATTTTGAATACAGAATTTAGGGGCTTCCTTATCTTGAACAAGCACACCTCTAACAAGTTCTCCGCCTGGCTCTTTTCTCAAGCAATTAATAAAACCTAATAAACCGCATTCAAAATCTCTCTCTCCAACAATTATGATTCTATTATTCTCATCGAGTTTGTTCTCATTGTTCATCAGTGACTTTAGATTTTCTAGCCAATTAAAGTTATCGTTACTTATGTGGACAACAATCCTTTTTTCTATCAAAATTTTCTTCTTTAGAAGTACAATCATTTCTTCATCAGTACACTTTTCAAGAACAACATTTAATTCATATTGTTGTAAATGTTTTGTATAGTCAATTACATTACATTTTTCACGCGTCAACAGGTAACCACCTTCTCTCAAAAATGGCAATAGTCGCTTTAACGATTCGTGTTTGGTCAAAAGGTTGAATCCAGCTACAATTAAAGCTTTCTCATTTAAAGATGGTTTTTCAGAATCTCTGATTGAAAAGTTTTGCGATAAATCTGAACTAAAACGATTCGGTGATGTTAATAGAGTGACACTCGTTTTTATTAACGGCATGTCATTAAATGCCTCAAGCAGCAACGAAGATGAGAGATATTCTAATGCAACATTATCTTCATCTTTCACTAGCTCCACAATTTTCACATTAATAATTTGATGATCTTCGAAAGCGAGTTGTGCTGATATCCGAATTGCTTCGTTTAAAGGAATTTTAGTGCGATCACAATGAGCTACAAATGTATATTCCTCAAGAACAGTATCTTGGGCTAAATTCCGACGATTGATTTGAATGGTTTTAAGACCTCGTATCTCTATTCCACCAGCTCTAATCGTATCTATCTCTTTATAAATTTGTATCGGTAATGCTGTAATAATACATAATAATATGCTTTATGTCAGAAATTTTTTATACGATTGTATATATATATATATATATATATTGAACAAATAATTGTCGGTAATTGAAGAATCATCGGTAAGAAGAATAA